GCATTGAGCCGACAGGTAAGCATCTGAGGGATAGATAAGCGACACTTATTGAGAAGAAACGTTTGATTCTCTTGTCATGATTTTGTTTATAAAGATATCCCACAGAAAAAAAATGTTATATGGATTATACGTGATTTTATTTGTCTTAATGAATGGAATGATTAAGTACGTTTGCTGGTAGGAGTAGCGTGATTTTTTAATTCGTTTGTTTTCCAGTACCTTTTCTATCCTAAATCAATCAAAAATTAAAACTGATAACGATAAATTTGAAACGAAAATATCCTCCAATTGCAGTATTTTTTAAAAATACTTTTTAAAATTATAATATAGATATTAATAAACATACTCCTAGACCCTGCGGGACCCCTTTTTATTAAATTATGAACATCCGCATAAATCTTTGCGAATGACTTTATTTTATCTTAACTTACAAATATTCTCAGATATGGTTTTTTTTTCATTAAATTAATTAGTATAATGAGGTACTAAAAACTCATGAATAGATATTTACTTTCCACGTGAATCATACGATAATTTAATCACAAAATAAAAAAATGTTTGGCTATAAAGATATTGGACGATTTTTCCTGTATAGCTCATTAAATTGACATGTTAGATGTGGAGGTCACGCCAAACAGCTCAATATCTTCGCAGGCCACATTTTTGCTCGATTTTGTGATCAAATTACCTTACGTTACGATTCAAGTAGAAAGCAAATGGGTGTTCATGTATTTTTAAGACCTAATTAAACAGACAAAGTTTGCTCATCTATCCAGACAGAAAGCTCTGCAAATCCGAGAATTTACGTAAATAAATAAGTTGTAGGTAACGATGAGTTGAAACTATCCACTAATGTTGGGCGGATGTTCTTAATTTGATAAGAAAGGGGTTTGACTACGGATTTTCTTCTTATCTATTGAAAATATCTCCTGCTTACATTGGCATATTTAGTCGATTTCTATCATATAAGATATATTAAAGAAAAAGTATGAGGAGAGTAATACAAAAATAAATTTTTCAATAATGTAGTGGGCTTGTTTAAATTAGAGAGTTTTAATGTTAGTCACTGTTTTTTTTAGTTTCATTAAGTGTATTATGTTTTATTGAATTATAAAAAGTTTTTATTAAACGATGTACCAATTATTTATGATGGTGCTCTCGAATCTGCGGAATCGCTTAACCTTTATTAATGTTAAATATTGTAAGTTCGAATAAATCAGTATAAATATACCCAATATACTTTTATTTCATTTCGGTATCGTTCAATATTTCATTTTCTAATTTTTATACAAGCCAACATACACCGATGTTTTCACTTCCAAATCTTACAACCACATTTCGACTCATCAAGCCTTTTTCAAGTCTAAAAACAATTTTTTTTTCATTTACAGTCATATCTAATATTATTTTGTTAACTTTTCATGCGTATTTATCTCTATAATCATTGGCATATTTTAAAAAGTCTCTATTTTGAAAAATGAATGTTTTTATAATTAGCTATGTGGTCTAAATGTATGGAAATAAACTCCATTCATTCCGGAAATTCCAATCTTTTGAAGAAAATAAATATATAGAATTTTTATGGAATAAATTATTTACTCTGGAATGTCCAACCTGGAGGTGTTGGAAATGTCCAGGCAGTGAAATGAAATCATATAGTTAACACTTGTGACAGAACGATGAATCTGCGCTATCGAATGAAAGGCGAAACTGATCTAAGCGAAGAAACAAAGACTGAAGAAAACAAAGGTTGTTATAAGTTAGGTTTTAGACTATTCATTTGTTATCTTGCTAAACAAGCGAGATATGAAATATATTTTGACTTTTGAGAACCACTAAATTTACCAGTGAATGAAGGGAACAAATGTTTGGTTCCCGGAATTAAAATTTCACCGATGTGTTAGGTATCAAGAAAAAAAAAACCGTTGAGTCTTACATATCCATGCGACATAATACCATTTATCCGATTTTTATTCAATTTTCTGAGATTATATTGACTTGTACCTAAGTATAAAAATGTTGATACGTTTTTTGAAATTATTTTTACTATTTTTGGTTACGCATACACTAATTCCCGGCCAACCTGTTTCTAAAAATCGGATCATCTAATTTGATCAATAATCGAATAAAAAGTTAGGATTAGTGGAATATTCGTTTTGATTGTTAACTCACACGTCAAAATGAAAAGAAAGAGTTTGAACAAGCGACTGAAAATACTGTACTCACTGTTTTCTAAATCAAATTTGAAAATTAGACAAAAACTAAATACATACACTTACCTGCTCAAACCCATTTGGACATACGCCTCACAGATTTACGGTTCAGCAAAAAAGACTCACTTACAAAAACTACAATCCTTTCAATCTAAACTTTTGAGACTAATAACTGCAGCTCCCTGGTACGTCAACAATAAGACTTTACATACCGACCTAAGACAACCAACCATTGACCAGCACATACGTACTCTTTACTCCCGATTTCATCTAAAACTACACGGACATCACAATGGACTTATCAAAAACATGGCCACGGCTGAAATGCTCATCAGGAGGCGACTGAAAAGGAGCTGGATGAGAGATCTCCTTTCCTGATTTTAGGATATAAACAGGCCAGGGAAGAGGTGCTGCTGGGCTGCATTCTTCGTCATGCCTATCATGTCATTTTCAATTTAAACAGCAAATCTGCTAATTGTCACTACCATGACAGGTGCGGATGAAGATGTAAAGACAAAAAAAAAACAAAAAAAAAAAAAAACTTTTATATATTATTCTAATAGATGATTTTTTCACTTTTAATGTAATATATGGATTATTAGTATGAGCTTATTCATGAATCTTATTACATATTGGGCATGCAAGACAAAATGTATGAGAGAACCAGAAGCCAAAGCTGTTCATGTTTTGTAATGTAAGTATCAAGTTATTTTCAATGAAGATATTGTTATATGAAAATTCTTTGTATCATGCGAAAATTGTTATTTTCTGAAAAAAAAATTTATTGTCTTACCCATAATTTAGGATTTAATTTAGAACTTCTTTATATGTTTTTTTTGTTTACAGCGTTGTTTTATCAGACACCTTTAAATATATTGAAAAATGCTTTTCAATCGCCATTGGCATTGTTATTTACACTTCTTTCATACCTGCCTCTGAATGAAAAATTGGCTACTGAATAATAATAATAATAATAATGCTTTATTTATTCTTTGACAAGTCCCTTTAGAATAATATAAAAAGACAATAATATGGGCTAAGGAGCCTTAGAGATACATAAACAAAAATATACAGTTATTAAATAGTCAAAATAAAAAAAAAAATTATAAGTTACTTACTAATTTAGATCAGTTAAAAATAAAAAACAAAAAATTGAAAATAAACATGAAATAAAAATAATGAAGAACGCTCTAATAATTTATATACATATTTGCAGTAGTAACTATTTACAGTTTTACTTTACTATTTCTATACTATTACAATAGTAGGAAGGAATAATTGGGTAGGGAAATCTGGGAGTAAGGGATAAAAGGTTTAACTAGGTGTCGGATATTGCTATTATGTGGTAAAAATTATCAAGGAAATGTTCCTGAAATTCGTTCTAGTGTGCAGTAAGGGATTGTGCATTGATGTGACAGAAATTCAGGATATTCGTCATGACTGAAGGGTTGGGAAGTAGGATTTTGGAAAAAAAAAAAAAATGATCAAGGATGAAGGATAGGATATAGCATTTTTTAAGCATAATGTCATGTTTATAAATATAAAAAGCCAATGCTTACATAAAATAAACTTTGAGATGAAAAAAAAATTAATTTTCGGTGTTTCGAAATAAATATTCAGTTAAAATTAATTTATAACATAAGAAAATACAAATTTCTCCTTGGTCTAGATAAATTGATAAAAATTGGTAAGGAATCGAATAAAGTTCTAAGTAATTTATACAAAAATAAAAGAAGGTTAAAATTAAAATGATAATATTTCTGATGAGTAAAAATTGATACAAAAAACAACAACAGAAGCTACATTTATAAAAAAATAAAGAGAGCTGGAAATGAAAAAAATATAATAAATATATTTCTAGCTAGAGAAAGTAAATTAAAGTAAAAAGCAAGCTGAAGGTAACTTATATACAAAGTTCAGCTGAAAACGTCCAGATCACTTGGTACTTCTATAATTACAACTGGACCTCCATCTGATTGTCTGCAACGAATTTTACACCCACTGAACCAGACGTATCTTATTTTTGCCGTCACCCTCTTCTGCCTGGCTAACCATTAAAGGTGTTTATTGGTGGGCGTCATGGCTTCACTCACGTAGACGCGGTGCGAGTCGTTCTCTCCCCAGCATAGATGGCGCGTAGAGAAATCTCTCTTCGCTCTTCGTTGCCGCACCAGCTCATCTCTCACCGCTTGTCTGACAAGTCTGACTATAAATGAGCCTGGAGTCCCTTCTTGCTTGGGTCTTAGTCTCACGGAATATGTCCTTAGTTTTCGGTTATTGTATTACGCACCATTGTTATATTGAATAAATCGGTACGAGGTTTATTCCAATCGAATGAGTAAGTTTTAAAATTGTTCTCTATTGTTTGTAGCGTTTCACATCAAATATGAAATGTATAAATATATAACCATTCAAACTATATAATATGTATAAAACTAACTATTCAAAATTGTAAAGTTTTAAATTATTGTGTTATTAAAATATTATTTTTGGTGAGAATTTTAAACTAATAAAATGAAAAAAACTATTTTATTTCATATGGAAGCCGAAAATAAAACAAACAAACATGAATATCTAAAATATATTGTGTATCTATATTTTTATATTTATATATTACTTGCGGAATGAGGATTAGGATTTGGATGAGGAACGTAGCTCTAGAATTCGTTCGGAATAGTTGCAGCTTTAAGCAGCTTAATTTTGATTTTTTTTTCTTCTCATTTTATTTGTTTTTATATAGCATTTTCTCTATAAAAACACCCTTCAATCATTTCAATTAAATTTAAATCAAAAGGGGCTCCAAAACGTGTCGATATCTCCATCAGGAAGCCGACCTGCTAGATATTTTAAAGACTGAGGTGCTGCTCTCTCAAGCTCAGGGTGGGAGATTCCTGACGCATTGTTGCTAACAAAAATAATTTTTCTTCCTTGTGTACCTATTGAGTTTCTATTTCCGTTTATTTCTGATATGTATGTCTCATGCTAATACAGATACGGTTTGACTAAAGCTCTGCCGTCTCTGAAATTGTATATTGTTATAATTCTTAGGTATAATATCATCCGGATTTAATAAATCATTATCGTGTGACCATGAGTTCCAGGTAGTGGATTCAATAACCTAAATTTTCTTCTATATGTAGGAGGTGTTTTCGCATTAGAAAATGCTTCTCTAGATTAGTTTTCCCTAGATTTGAAAGAACAATTGTTGTAGGTTCAGGATCAAAATAATACTATGAATCATATAAATCAGATGAAAGAAACGTCCTATAGATTGTAAAGAAAGGGAATAATAGGGCATGTGGGACATGGGAGTTACCGAATAAATTTCAACGGATACTTACCCCTTACACAAGGCGGTAGGTACTGCTGACCTATTTTAACCTCGGACGCTATAGGGAGGCACGTTTCATTTATATTCAAAATCACATCACATTTATATGAATGTGCCTCTGCTCTTTTTGCATGGAGTGGAATCCTCGATCGGATGTTAAGATTCCTGTTATCTTATCTAAGTTTAACTTGGTAACTAGACGAGTGTATTGCATAAAGTAGGCATTACCCCAACAGGACATGGGAATTTTATCTGTAACAGATGAGGGCATGAAGAAATGAAGTTTATCACTTTCATTTATATTCAAAAGAACATCACATTTATATTTATGTGCCTCTGCTCTTTTTGCATGGAGTGGAATCCTCGATCGGATGTTAAGATTCCTGTTATCTTATCTAAGTTTAACTTGGTAACTAGGCGAGTGTAATGCATAAAGTAGGCATTACCCCAACAGGACATGGGAATTTTATCTGGAACAGATAAGGGCATGAAGAAATCAAGTTTATCACTTTCTTTTATATTCAAAATAACATCACATTTTTAATTATGTACCTCGGCTCTTTTTGCATGGAGTGGAATCCTCGATCGGATGTTAAGATTCCTGTTATCTAATCTAACTTTAACTTGGTAACTGGGTGAGTGTAGTGCAAAAAAATTGCCTTTCGCCAACTTTTACTAACTGGAAAGAAAGAAATAATTTGAAAACACTAAGTATAAAGCCTAAAAAATTGATCTGATATTTTTTATATTTAATGTACACTTTATATATAATAATGATTAGTATCTTCATAATCTTTTACATGACTGATAAAAAGACCTGCTCTTAAAAATATGTAAATATTTTATCTTTATCGAACATAAAATAAATATCATTATGTTTATTAATATTATATTTGTTAAACTATGAGTACGTAGAAAATTATTTACAGTATATTACTTAGCAGTGATTGGTAATTGTTAAAGTAAAAACTCTTACTTTTGATCCTATAAACTGGAGGAAATTGTTTATTGGGAGAGTAATCAATAAAAAGGGGGTCGTAATAGGTTAAAATCAAATTAAAAACTTGTTCGCTCCTAAGTAGCTTAGGCTAGCTATTTTACCCCTGAAAATAGGTTAAGTAGTTTAACGGGAACTTCAGCTAATTTAATGAAGCAGGGAACTATTTAATTTATTTTTTGTTAGAATTAATATTTTCCTAATTAGTTGATCCCTGATATAGTAATATTTTTTTATATAATATCACAGTCAACTATCGTAAGAGGTTTTTTTTTTTTATTATATGTACTTCTTTACTTTAGCTGTTTTATTTATTTAGCTCTTAAGATCGTCTCTGTAGCTCACCGAATTTTTCATCAACCTAAGAATTCAAGACTAATTGTTTGATAATTTTGTTTTGAATTTCTTAGTGTTGAAGTTTATGGTACAATTATTTTTATATGTAATATTTTTGTCAGTTTTAATTTCTTAACAAATTCTTTTTCTTAGATATTATATCAGAAAGTTATATTTTAAGGTTAAAATCTTGAAATAATTTTTCAATAAGTCCTGCAGAAGGAAGCTTAGTTCATTTTATCATCAAGTTCACTGTTCTTAATACATTTTTGTTCTCACTATTTCCACTTTTTACCGCCATCGTTCGATCTTATTGTTAAATCTTTCAGGTTTAATATAAAAATTGTCGGGTTTTTATTTTTGGGTTTGATCGAAGGCTGAGATGTGTAAAAAGAAGATGGCATTTAATAACTGGGGGAAGTACAGTTGGGAAGTAACCAACTTTTAGTATTGACAATCTGTCCTGAAATGTTACTCTTTAACAGTAATTTTATATTTGAATTTATTATTTTTTTCATGAGGCAGTTCACTACGCATGAAAACGTACTATATCTGCTGCCTAGCAGGTATGATATGCACCTGCATATCCATGCATGATATTACTATCGTGAGATTGGATTGTTCGTGTGTATTCACATGAATTTAGTTATTTTTTATATATTCGATACGTATATTAATTGCTGATTCTTAGTCAATCTTAGGTGAGCACTTCAGACTCGACTTAAATTATTTGAAGTCCTTACAATTGATTTTTTTGTAACAGAAATTCTAGAAATTCATATTTTGTTGATTGTCTTAAGATTTGTTACTTAATAATAGCTGTTAATGTTTTGAAGATTGTTGTCTATGAATGGTTTGAACGCTTCTAAAGATTGAAAACCGTTTTGTCTCAATATAATAAATCTAAACTATTTAATAAAAGGTAATTTAAAATTATTCTTTGCCCATATCTTACTATAACAAAAATTAATAGTTGGATATCTTATTTAAAACAATAATTTGCAGGTTTTTAGTTGGGGTAACCCTGTGATTGTCCGAGTCCGGTTGTGGGAGATGATTATTTTTTTTCATCAGCTGTGGTTCAACCAAGCCATAATTTGTATTGGTATTATTAATTAATTTATTAAGGGGAAAAAACCTTGCGGTTGAAGCTCTGTGCACAACCGTTGAACTATAAATTGTAATTTTTTACAATGTCCTGAGCCCATTGGTTCTAGTGGTCCAATTTATTAGCCAAATATGAATTCGTCAGTTTTTTTTTCCTGTAGGAGGAGTAATAGGGGTGTTGAATTTTATTTCCGTTTGATGTTCGTGTTAGTTACCTAAAGGGCTGATGATGTGTTTCCAGCTTATAGCATCGCTCTCGGGGTACCTTCTTTGACGTTATCCTCATTTCCACTTTGACTTCTTCCATCCATCTCCTTACTCGTGTTTCTTTTGATGATAACCTCTTTGAAGCTGGTTCGCATGTTTTATCTTTTTCCTTCTCGGATCTATATTTAATAACTAATTAATATCTTAATGGGTTCTGCTATTACAATATAGTTTTTAAATCGTTTCGGTCGTTTATATTATTGGAAATAATATAGTTAAATTAACCATACATTAAATGGTTTTTTTTTTATTTTAATAGCTCAAATCTTCAGTGGTCTTTTTGGTATTGTTTTCTAATTATTTACTGAAAATAGATATTAATACCGAATTAACTTTTGCAACTGTTAATAACATTTGTGGTAAAGATTTCTTGCAGAAGTGAATAATGGGAGTTTATTGTATGAATGAATGCTATGCAATCTTTCTTGTCGGAATCTAATTATTTCAATTTAGTTAGACATTGATAGAATTGCTTAAATATAAAAATATATTTTAAGAGAAACTAGATCTATCTACGATCGGATGGTTTTAAAATGTATTAAATTCGGAAATGGGAGCCATTATATCTCGACAGTGGGAAGTATATAATGAAATCATCGCTAAATAATGGAGAAAGATTCGTTCCGGTATCTCTTCTTCAAGGATGACTACCAGAACAGAAGGAGTAGAGCATTATGGGTCTTCTAGTCATAATCCTCACTTCGGTGACATGGGTCACTTTCTCATCTTGTTTATTAACTGTCCGGATTGTCATTTAAGGGTTAATTGAAAAAAAACTAAAGATTTTAAAGACGTTTATGACGAATGCAAGTTTATTAAAGGTTTTTTAACTTAAATAGGAAGGCAGAAAATAGGTCAGCTTGCTGGTTTTCCTCCTTCCCGTGATGTAGTGCTCAATAGTACTCCAGTTTATCAGTGAGTTAATGCCGCTCCATTTCATCATCCCCGTACACAAAGGGCATAGGATGAAGCAATTAATCCACTATTCGCCGTTTGATCATTTTCCAAGATAATCTAATTGACCCATTAGTTAACAGGAATCTTATCCAATAATAATAGTAATTAATCAGTGAATATTTACACCTTTTATATAAATTGATATTTCTTTATCAAAAATTGAAATTTTCCTGTAATATTTATCCGATTGAAATAAGAAATAGAGGATTGACAATAGTTCTAATGCATGAATTCGTATTCAACTGATTGTCTGAACATTATTACCTAATAACATATTAAGGAGTGTTTAGCTTTTCTTTTAGTTAAACGTTATCGTTTTAGTTAAGATGGAAAATTTTATTTATATCATGATATACTAGTTGAGAAGAAATAATCACAGCGAGTTGATTCAAACGCTTGGTCAAATTGGTCTGAGTAGAACGGACGATATGCATTAAATACAGGAGAGGGTATAATCAGAGAATATCTTTTAAGTAGAACTAGATAATGTTTTTCGAATGGTTTCAAAATGTCTCAAACTAGGAAACGGAGGCTATTTTATTTAAGCGTATAGCTACACCCTCAACAGTTATGCCAATCTGGTCACGGCCAACAAGGATTAATTAAATAAGAGGATTAATTAATTGAGTACAGCAGCCTTTTCTCCGTACGCCAAAAATGGCTATTCAGGTACTGACAAAGAGGGGAACACATGACTAATTGGAATAAATAATGGCAGAGAAAAGAAAGTAATTGTTTAGCCAATGTTCTTGTAAATGTGAAATTCTGGAGGAATTCTTCATAATCTAGTGGCAAATAATTGTATTTTCTGTTATAAAGATAAGATATGGTGAAGATAAGTTAACATCGATAAATACAAATAAATAATTACATGAAAAATTAATTATATTAAATTAATCTATTTAATGTTGAAAATTGGGTAATTCAGAATGTTTGAGGCATTAGGCTGAGGAAAATACAAACGAAGCACAATACACAATGTATTTTTTTTAGGTTTATAATTTCTCCAAATCGTCCAAAAATCCTGAATATTGTTAATGATCACTCTGTTGCAAACCTAATGTTTACTTCATTAATCCCGGTGATTTTTTTTCTATTGGTCCTGTTAGTACATGTTTTCATTTGTAGCAGTGATTTCTTCGATAGACATCTGGTGAGAATAATTTATGTAACATTGCTGTGAAACGCTTCTTTACTATTTAGCAGATCGTCCCTCTGACCTAGCGCTAGATGACAAGGCAGCTACATCTTGTATCCAAGAAATTGTCACACAGGGTCTACCAGGCCCGTGGGAGCTCCTCCCTGGAGAGTGCTGCGACCTTCTAAGCATACCTTCCTCGATCTGCACCAGATCTGACTTCTTTTTTTTCTGAAGTCAAGTCCTAGACATCTCTAGGTCACTTCAAGGGCCTTTCTAATTTGGCGCGTCGCCTAAATTCGTTCTCTCCTATCTTTTGTCTTTGTAAAGTGTCTAACTGTTTTTGAACGGACTAAATAGTTTTTTTAGTGTTTATGCCTATATATATATATATATATATATATATAATATATATATATATATATATATATATATATATATATATATATATATATATATATATATCTCACGGCTCGCATTGAGCCGCATTACTGCTATTAAGAACCAGTAGAGGCTGACTATAGGCGCTATAATTACACATACTTGGCTTGTGTGAAGGATCTGTCCATTGCCAAAACTCCAATATATGCTTATTCACAGATCTCGGTGCCACTGCCGCTTAGGTAAGGTTCTGGTGAAATTTGGAGAATTTTTCTGGGATAAGGTCTAGGACAAGTGGGATATTAAGGTCATGGTGTAGGGTTTTGTTAGTTACATAGAACGGAGCATCAACCAAGGACTTTAGATTGAAAGGATTGGATACGATTGATGTTAGTAATTTTTAAAGTAATTTGTTTTCAATAGAAAGTTTAGCTTTTCTGTTTAGTAGTCTGTACAGCTGGTTGTATCGTCGATTGAGTTCTTGTCTTTTGAGTCTAGTATGTGGGTTCCATGTTAGTCTTATAGCATTAGAAAGGAAATTCTTATGTGACAGATTTCGTTATTTTTTTTTCTTTTTGGTTTTGTAGGGAGTTCACTAACGTAACAAATGATCATGGGCGTACCCTATAAATTGTATGCCTTTAGATTTATGCAACCTTTTTCCAGATATTTCGTGTTAATTTGACTATTTTTCTCCCTTGAAGCAGAAACTATTTTTTCAAAATGATAATTCAAAAATTCGATTTCTTGAATAATTAACGACTTAATATGACAACACTAGAAAACTTTTAAGAAAGAATATATTAAAATTGGAAGACTAAGGGAATCTATAACTACTTGTATTTGAATTACACGCATGCTTTGATACGAAGCTTATTTTCGACAAGTCGAATTTTATTTGAGAGGCTTTTTATCTCATCCTTGACTTCTTTTATTTAAGTACTCATCTCAGAGGGTTCTTCGTATCGAATCCTCAACTGTTTTATTTTCTGGTTTAGATCCTTGGCATCCCCCCGGTCAATGTGCTCCTTTATTTTATGCTCTCTCTCTTGCGACATAATATAACCATAAAAGAAAATTTAAGAAGGATATATTAAGATTAAAACACTAATGAAAAGCTATAACTATTTGTATTCGGATCACACGCATGGTTTTATACAATATTTACAAAATTCATTGCTCGAGATCTCCAAACCAAGTCTTTTTCTCCTAAGCAACATTCGTTTCATATTTAGGCGGCTTGCCTCGATACTTTCATTTACTAACGTGCTCACATCATCCTCTGGCGAATTACGTCATTCTTTCAATAGTCCATCTCAAGATCTTGTATTGTTTAATATTAAGTTGAGGTGTTGAATGTTCACGTTTCTGGAATATATGTATAGTGGTTCTACTATGCCTGAGAATATTAGGCGGTTGTTTTCTATAAGGATAACTGTACTCCAGAGTATTGGATTTATCATTCGTGTAGTCTTAAGGGCTTGTTTCATATTTCATGCTCAGACGATCTTGCGTCATCTACATAAGTACCTCGGTCGAATTATTTAGCTTTTTAAACAACTATGCATGTTAACAACAAAGAGTTTAAACAACTTGGCAAGGAACTGAAAACGAAACTCGACCATGTATGAAGATATAAATAAACGAGTGATAAATTGCAGTATGATAACACCTTATTGAGACGGGCGCGATTAGGTTGTTAGGCTGGGTCACTACGGGAGGAACTAATGACTTGAAGGTTAGCAGAGCACTTGCATGCCAGTAGTCGGCTAAGTGGCAATCAGTAGTGATTTATCGAAGGGACCGCCGCTCACCAAGTCTTTCTATCTGCTCGATAAAACAGCAAATAGTTTAGCAGCCTGCTTGGTCAAATGTGTATTTGCTAAACATTTATTTAGCACCATTCATGAAGATTTTTTGGCTACTCTCATATTTTAGTGCCACGTTTTTTACTGAAAAGACTAACTATTCTTTGTAGGTTGAATATTTGCTAGAATCCCCCCGCGTTAGAAATTGGAATACAATTTCAAAATTACTTCATTTTTGTGATTTATTTCTTTAATTTTAACCAACAAGATCGGTTACAAAGATCCATTACTAAAAAAAAAAAATAATACAGTTGGACATGACACAATAGGCTGTATTTTTGCTGGTAATGGTCCGATTTTGATCATTTATTTTTATATGTATAGTATATCATAAAATACACAGTTATGCGCAAATAGTTTTTCTATTCTTTATAGCTTCTTTTCCCTTCTGGGTAGATGGATAATTAAAAAGCTTTAAACAAATTTCTTTAGCATCCTTGTAGCTTTTTTTTTCTAATGTGCAAAGGGAAAGATATTTTTCTGAAAACGCGCAGCATGAATTGCGTCCAAAATGAACACTTACGTACACTAAAACATAGGCTGGAATTATTCAATTCGTAGCAATAAATAAATTAGTAACAAATTAATTCCACCCATTCAAGAAATAATGTTGTAACAGATAAAATGATTAGAGATAACAACAAATGCGTTAATTCTTATTTTGTGTAACACTACATGATGATACATACCAAATGACATTTCTCTATTTCAGCTTCCATATTGCTACGGCAAAAAAATATTAGCTTGTTGATATTAAAGATTTCCTCCTAATGAACATTATTTTTAGATTGTTTTGTCAATGGTTATACTCTAAAAAAAATAATCACATTGTTAAAAACAGCAGGAATCAGAAAATACACCAATTTTGAATTTAGTGGATTATTTCTGACAGAACACATTGTAATTTTTTTTATAAATTAGTTTACAACATAAGATAATAACTCATACTGAAATTTTCATGTGTAGAATTCTACACAACTTATATAATGAGTTTTCTTGTATGGAAAACGTTTGTTTAAGAAATGTACCTAGAACAGATCTGTACTAAAAAAAATTATAAATTGCATATGTACTGTTTCTAAAATAACTAATTCAATTCATTTTGATTACCGGCCTCGATCAATATTACTTACTGGACTTATGTTTTTTTTTTCATGATATATATTCACTAATTTGAAGTATATAGCGAAATTATAATTCTCTATGAAAGTAAAATGAATTAATTATGGCTTTTAAAAGGGCCAGTGTAATTAAAAATATAATTACCACTGAAATCCTTATCTCCACAGCTCATGAAAAATTGCTTTAAATTTTTGGTTTGTAAGTACTGTTTCATGACCAGGTTGTTGATCTTAATAGAATCACGCTTGTTCGCCAAGAACTCCCTCACAACCTGTTGAAGAATATAGCGTCCACTTCTTAGAGGCTGAGTGTCTCTCAGGAGGGTCTTCTGATCACAAATTCATTCATAGTCTTGTGTGAGAGAATATTTACCACACCCGGATTCGAAACAGTGTTCAGGAGTCAATGTTTAGTGCCTTGTCTACTGAGAAATAATTATCTGGTTATTTAATGATGTGGAATGATTGAGGAATCTGAGTCAATTGAAATAAGTTGTGACTCGTTTTCTCTGCTTCGATGATTACTTCCTTATTGTCCTTAATGTTTAAATTATGTTGTATGTTTAGGCCCACTTAGCCGTTGGAACGGCAAGTGAGTTGAAATATAAGCATACATTAAAAAAACACACTGTGACTGTTTCTTTTCTTCTTAAGCCGCACTGATTATATTGCCAATAAAAATGTTAACTATCAAATATGAAAATAAGAAAAATGTTCAATCCTGCATTCTAGGGATTATAATTGTAAGTAAATATTTTTAAAGACCGTGTAAGAAGAAATCAATCATTCATAAAATTACATGTTAGCGTGGAAATTAAAAGATCCTCGTTATTTAGGCTGAATCTATAATGATATATTAGAGTTGTGATTTTCAGATTCGATTGTTAGCATTTTTATCGACAATATCCTCGAGTTATGAATTGGTGCTATTTTAGGATTTGTGATATATTACGTATAACTTCATTCATCAAAGAGATGAATGAACTGCTCAGAGGTTAAGGATATTGACCTCCTGGACCGGATTCGAGTCCGGATTTACTTCATATTTTATTTATACTGTTATGTGTGCTATGGTTCGTCTCTATAGGGTGTGTGGTACTTCTGGCAATCAAGCATGTCTTCTATGAAAATGGTAGATAACACCTTGGTCATGAAATCGTACTTCCTGGTTAAGTATTAAACTCAAGGTCCTTGGGTTGTAATGGTACTGCATTTATTTTTTGTTTCCATTATTTAATAATTAATTTCCGTGTAGCAAGATGATGTAATTGGAAAGGTTTACCCTGAAGTATTTATTTATTCCATTTTTACAAACACTGTTATTTTTCCATTTTCTAGTTTTGAACTTTTTTCAGTATAATAAAAAATTATATTTAGTTTTGATTATTGTTTCTTAGGAAACGTTTCGGGGAATCTCAGTCCCTGTTAGTATTCTAAATAATACAATTAATATAATATAGGTTTGACTCTAAACCAATAATTTTTAACTTTAAAACTCATCATGTTTTTGTCTAAATTAACATAAATTATTTGATATAAATAAGTTAAAACAATAATATTACATACATATGCCCCAAAACTGGTTAATTTCAAGATAGGTTTGGTCAATGTCTTATGCCCAACTAGAAGAATTTAAGTCCATTTAGGGTTTTTGGTGGAAAATGAGGAGTATGAGAGTTAAAATACTAACTCTGTAATTTTATAATCTGATTCCGTGTATTACGAATAAACTGTAGGTCTACCTTTCTATTTAATGTGAGTGGCCAACCAGGCTAATGCGTGTACACACTACCGTTACCCGGCAACCCGGATCAAATATAAT